TTTTCATTAAAGGGTGTGTTAGGTTAGCCAATTGAACGGAGGCCCAGAAAACCCTAATGATGGCTGCACTTAACGTTGATGAGAAACCCGAGGCCTGTGCTTTGAGGGCAAGTGTTGGGAGTGTCACTGCGGCGGGGGACATCACCCGTGGGTACCCGGGTCGGGTCATCACCAGTGACCTTACCGCTGCCGTCCCAAGGAAGAAAAGGATGGCCAGACAGAGGAGATCATCTTCCACCATCAAGCAGCTCCTCTCTTTTACAAATTATGCCAGCGGCAGCACCACCACCAACTCGCACGTGCCATCCTCCACTCCTCATCAACCAACTCCTTCCGCACGTGTGAGTTCTTTCAATCGCCCCTTTTTTTTCTTTTTTAATTTGCATTTTTAGATAATACGTTCAGTACTAGCTATAATGTTGGCCAAAATAACAAATTAATTAAATACTGCTGAGAACTGACTACGAGTATAATTGGTTTTTTATTTTTTATCACCAACTTTTTCAATTTAATGTGCGTTAATTTGATCTTCCAATGTTGGTAGTTTTAAGCCACTCTAGCTAGTGATATGATTTTTTGAAACTTTTCTTTAGTATATATGTATAATTTATTATAATCAAAATGTAGTAATTATATTTTCTGCGCGATATGAATATTTATGTCAGATGAATGATATCCAGCCTTCGTAACGTCAACAATGCCTGATCTTTGATTTTAACTAATAATATATAATATGTCTCCAATTAAATTAATCCCAGCTGATTAACCAGATAAGAAAATTCATACATGTAACCGATCTATCTTTTTGCAATGTGTATATATATGTAGGTTTAGATATCTGATTATTAGATATATATATATATGACTTAATTAATTTGGATGAAAAATGTCATTTTATTTTAGGTTATTGATCCAAGGAGATTGAAATTCCTTTTCCAAAAGGAACTTAAGAACAGTGATGTAAGCCCCCTGAGAAGAATGATTCTCCCAAAGGTCAGATCTCATGCCTTGCTAGTTCTGCTTCCCAGCTAGCCTGATATTTCATTTCTCTCTTCTATTTATTTCATTTCCATGATTAATCATTTTGATGGTGATGTCTATTTATAAGCATATAATAAACTTAATTTGCTTCAAAGTAATACTATAGTAATTTTACCAATGACTTAATGGTACGAATAGAAAGATTTTAGTTTTCCTTAAGCAAAATCATTTTGATGATGATGTCTATTTATAAGCATATAATAAACTTAATTTGCTTCAAAGTAATACTATAGTAATTTTACCAATGATTTATTGGTAGGAATAAAAAGATTTCGGTTTTCCTTAAGACAGATCTCGAGTTTGAATTTTATGAATAGGGAAACATGTATTAGGAGAACTTTCGCCTTATATAAAGTCTAACATAACTCAATTTCAGATTAATTAGGTTTCAATGTAACTTATAGATATTGGAGGATTAGTACCAAAAAATACTATATATAGTAATTTTAAATATTTCTTCCTTGATTATTTCAGAAAGCCGCAGAGGCACATTTACCTGTCCTTGATTCTAAAGATGGGATTCTTATTAGCATGGATGACATGGATGGCCTGCATGTTTGGAGATTCAAATACAGGTATCTATATTTATGTTAGCAGCTCTTCTTTGATTCACTGCAATGCCATGAATTTGCTATATGTATACTACGTAAGTAAATATATATGTTAGATTTTTAGTGGTGAAAAGGGAGGGCTTAAAGAGGACTTGAAGTGAGATTTGGAGAACTTCTCCTCTCCTCCCGATTGGGTGAATGTCTACACCCTTTTATGGCTATGTTAGATTTATGTTTTGAATTCTACTCTTTATACCAATTGTATCAGTTAGGAAACACTGATTCAAACCAACATAAAACTCAAGAAAAATCTTGAGAAACATGCAAAAGAAGAAGAAAATAAGTAAACTCCACTTATTGAGGAGACATACTGCCTAACAAAAAGACATTAAGTGGTCCATCACATGTTTCAACATCATACTGTAACAAAAAAATTAGTCCACCTTTCACTTATGAGTTGTGAAGTCTCCCATGAGAGTTCATTATTTTTTTAATTTTTTTACCACTATTGAGAGAGATATATGATCTAACAAAGAGAGATATATGATCTAACAAAGAGACATTGAGTGGTTAATTATATGTTTTGACACTATATTTAATTCAATAGTTACATAGGTCTTTAACATATTTAAATTACTCTTTCTTCGATGTAGGACTTTGGTTTTTTATATTCACAAGGAAAAAACATACTTCAACAACATCTATTAACACGATGTTTCATTCAATTAAATTTAATTAATTGAATGATGAAATTTTGGGAGTATGCGTTGCATTTTTTATTTTATCATCCCTTATATGCTCTTTATACATAGGTCGATGAGATGCTTAATTCTTATTGCATTAATTAATTACCAGGTTTTGGCCTAATAACAACAGCCGGATGTATGTACTTGAAAATACCGGTAAACACCACTCGTCATACCATTTTTCCTTTCCTTCCAATATCTATCAACCCTGATTTTAACAATATTGATGCGTTGAATTTTGTTAGGGGAATTCGTTAGCACGCATGGCTTGCAACTCGGAGACTTTATCATGGTGTACCAAGATAGTCAAAATCAAAATTATGTATGATCTCCATTAATATATATATATATATATATCAGCTACCTATGAACTAATTAATCCTAGCTATTTGGAATACTCTTTTTACTAGTTGATGATATGGCCTAATAATTAATTAATTAATTAAGATTATTCTTAACATTAGATGTATATATATATATATATATATATGTTTCATTATGTACAGGTGATCCAGGCAAAAAAGGCGTCCGAGCAGGAAGTTTATACTGATCTAGCACGGATAAATGGCGTGAACGACCTATTTCTCCACGATTACGAGGTTAGTAAATCCAGCTCCTACTATTATCCTACAATGGATGACTGCGCCGCATCGTTTATCTATGAGACGACCTTCTCATCCAACGACTCTCCGCTTGACTTCCTGGGAGGATCCATGACGACCAACTATTCAAGGGTGGAAAGCTTTGGATCAGTTGAGAACTTGTCACTTGATGACTTCTATTAATAGAAATCCCTCATCTACACTGGTCAGGCCAGTTTGTGTGTTATTTTGTTGAAAACCAATAGGCAAACTGTCACCCCCTCTTTCCCCTTTTTTATTACTTAACTATAAAAGGGATATGATGTGATCAGTTGTGTTGTTGTGCCTTTTGGATATGCTGCACCATGCATGTGTATGTAATGCACTAACAAAATAAATTAATTAATATTCCCTTCCTTCTCTCTTGATCCACAACCGTGATCAAAACTATATATTGATATAAATCTTTTGTTGTTAATCTCATATCATTGGGGAATGATATGGGTATATATACAAAACTATATATTTCAGTAGCAATCCTATGCGTGACGCCTTCATAGCATATTCAATATCTTCTAATTATCACTTTTTGCGAAGACTAGACTAATGCACATTATTTTAGCAAATGTTGAAAGTGGATGCTGTTTTTCTAAATAAATTTTATTACTAAAGCCAACGAGCAACCAAAAGCCCGTCTAGCTCAGTTGGTAGAGCGCAAGGCTCTTAACCTTGTGGTCGTGGGTTCGAGCCCCACGGTGGGCGTTCTTTTGAATGTGTGGGCTTCTTCTCTTATGTCAGTCATATTGAGTTTTACTTCGTGGTGGACTCCACTTTCTCAGCGCAGCCCAGTTAAGTTAGTTTGCATTAGCCCAACGTCACAAGCCTCTCTGCTTTTCCAAAATCCAAGTTCCTCCTTTTTTTTCCCTTCAAGCTCAAAAGATGAACAAAGAAACCTACAAGTAGTCAGATGGATGACTGGAAGTAGAACATGAAATGAAACCATCCATGGCCTAGTTTCAGCAGTCTGCCAGTCTCTAATGTGCAGAGATTCATGTCTTTTTTTTTCACAAAAATCAAATTTTATATTCTCAATACTAAATTTGGTGAAAGCTCATGACAGTTTTGATTTCGCATTTAGAAAATAAGAAGGAGCAAATCCTTTAGAAAATATTATTTGGAATAGGGGTTTAACACCTTCCATAATCTACTAAATAAATAAATGTATTTGAATTATTAATATCAATAAGATCAAAATAATAAAATTATTAGTGATTAGAATATATGAATTAAATCACTAACAAATGTATCAAACACCTCCTCAATTAATCAGTTGAACTAGACTCGATAATAAAAATTAGCAAGTCAGCAAGTCGGTTATTAAAATATTGGTGCCAAACACTCCCTCAATATTTTTTTATCATAATCAATGGCTATCTAATCTATTTTTAGTTGTCACACTTACCAAGTAAATAAAAATGTCCATATTTAGTTATCATACTTTATACTTTTATAAATGCATTAATTGTTTTGTTCTAATTTTACCTTACTAAAGAAAAAAAAAAGGGACAAATAAAAATACATGAGATTAGAAAAATAACATATCCTCACAATTAAAATGTCATATAAAAAAATTTATTAAAAATATTGAAATAATTTCATAAAATATCATGGACTTCTGTTATTTTTTTTCACTTTTCTCACTATAATTTATTAATATTGAAATAATTTCATAAAATATCATAACATTTTAAATATCAAAACATTCTAATATTTACTTTTATGAAAATTCACTTCTGAATTATTAGTAATAACAAAAAGATACAAATCAAAAAAAAAAAAAAAAGGGGTACAAATCATATTTTGGGGCAGAGTAAAAATACTGGGATAAAGTTTTGTAGTTTTTGATAAACCTTATAAATGCCATAGTCCAACCTGGTTATATATTGATTTATTAAAAATGATTAAGATTTTTTTATTGTCATTTCTGGCTAAAATACTAAAAAAAATAGTAAATAATTAACAAGGTGACAAATCTTAATTGGGCAGTGAAAAGTAAAGATGGGATAAAGTTTTGTAGTTTTGATGAAACTTCCTTTCTTCTTCTGCACATTCATACGCCATAGCTCAGCCTTCCCTCTGTCTCCATCCCTTCCTCACACTCTCTGATTTTGAATTTGAGTTCTTTTCCAATGGCGAGCAGATACTGGGTTGTGTCCCTTCCCGTTCAAAACTCTGCCTCCTCTCTCTGGAATCGTTTGCAAGAACAAATCTCCAAACATTCCTTCGACACTCCCCTGTACAGGGTACTTCTTTTCCCTTTCTAATCTCAATTATCAATTATCTGATTATAATATAATAATACAACAAACTTGATCTGCTATTTGATGTTTGAATTCTGTTTGTATGGTTTTTTGATTTTTCAGTTCAATATACCCAATCTCCGTGTTGGAACCCTCGATTCTCTCCTCGCTCTTACCGATGATCTCTTCAAGGTATACTAATTCTCCATTATTCAATTTGTAAATTTCGGTTTTTTAATTCTTTTCAAGTCTGGATTTTGAGAATTGATTGAATTGGGGGCAGTCAAATACGTTCGTTGAAGGAGTATCTCACAAGATCAGGCGGCAGATCGAGGAGTTAGAGAGGACGTCTGGAATCGAGACAACTGCTCTTACTGTAGATGGTGTTCCTGTTGATTCCTATCTCACCAGGTAAATGCTGCTTTTCCTGTCAATACAAATGGGATTTGGATTTCTATTCCTGATGAGATTTGTGTACCTAATGCCATGATGGAAGGTTTGTCTGGGACGAGGCCAAGTACCCAACAATGTCGCCTTTGAGGGAAATTGTTGATGGCATTCAGAGCCAGGTTGCAAAGATTGAGGATGATCTCAAGGTAATCATCCACAATACAATTTATGCTTATGCATTTAAGGATATTATGCCTGTGGATGGTGTTTTTATGCTTTGGGCCTTGGGGTGGCTATAGTGTCGTTATAGTTGGAGTGAGTAGGGTGGCCAAGTTGCAATCTTTTTTCTTTTTTCTCTTACCATTCTACTTACTTTGTAACCATGCCTCAAACTGCCTGCATGTCTATAATTTGAATCAATAAACTAGACAACCTTTTCTTTGTTATATTAGGTTCGTGTTGCTGAGTATAACAATGTACGCGGTCAACTTAATGCAATAAACAGAAAGCAAAGTGGAAGGTATGAGACTACTTCAGTCTGATTGTAAAATATAAAAGTAATATTTCCTTCAAGTTTCTTAGCTGTTATTCCTCTAATATTTCAGCTTAGCTGTTCGTGATCTTTCCAATCTGGTAAAGCCAGAAGATATCATTACTTCAGAACACCTAGTGACTCTCCTTGCCGTCATTCCCAAGTATTCACAGAAGGATTGGTTGTCAAGCTATGAAACATTGACTAGCTATGTGGTAAGGTTCAAAGTTCTAATTCCATTTAACACCACCCTGAGAGTGTCACTTCAATTGCTGCTTGTGAAAGAATGCATCCTAACTGACCCGTTCACAGAGTTCCACTCAATACTGAACCTTAGATCTTTCATATTTCTGAAGCCTCTGGAACAATTGAATCTCTTGATGCTAATTTTTTATTCAGATTTACTGGAGCCATTATTGTCCTGATGCTAGTTTTGGCCACAGAATGTAGAGTTTATTGTGTGTTATTAGTTTTAAATTATTCTATTATGGTCATCAGTCTGTCTGAATGATCCAGTTAATCATTTTCAGGTTCCTAGGTCCTCAAAGAAGTTGTACGAGGATAATGAATATGCTCTTTATACCGTCACATTATTTGGTCGTGTTGCAGACAATTTCAGAACTGGTGCACGTGAGCGCGGCTTCCAAGTAAGTGTATCCTAAGTTGCATGTGCCTTCTTGGTACATGGATGTCAATAATGTCTATCTTGGTATCCATACCATGCAGAATTGATCATTGCTAAAAGATTTGGAGATGTACTGTCAGACATCAAGTTAAGAGTTGACTTGATGGGGATTCTTAATCCATGCTGCAATACCTCTTTTCTTGTGATCCAGATTCGTGATTTTGAGTATAGTCCAGAGGCACAAGAGAGTAGGAAGCAGGAGTTAGAGAAGTTGATGCAAGACCAGGAAACCCTGCGAAGCTCTCTTTTACAATGGTGCTACAATAGTTATGGAGAGGTATTCTATATATAATTTTTGGGCTTTTCACTTTTGTAAGAATTAGACTTGGTATTCAGCTGATTGTAACTTCAATGGAGCTAAGTCTTCCTTAGTTCTGAAGCTATGGTATTATATCTATCTTTAGGGTAGCTGTAATCATCAACACTTCTTTTTATCATTATCATTGTTGACAATTTCTTTCTTAATGTTGGGTTCTTTTAATAAGTATTGTTGTCTTCTCTTAACTGAATGTGTTGTTTGCTTATAGGTTTTTAGCTCCTGGATGCACTTTTGTGCTGTGCGTGTTTTTGCGGAGAGCATACTGAGATATGGTTTGCCACCATCGTTCTTGGTAAACTCCATTGATTGCTTAAGCTTTTTCCTAGGCAGTTTTTTGCTTGGTGACTAACTGCTGGTTTCTGAGACAATGTTTTTTCAGGCATGTGTTTTAGCTCCATCTGTGAAGAGTGAGAAGAAAGTAAGGTCAATCCTTGAAGGGTTGTGCGATACAGCAAACAGGCAAGTCAAAAGTGCTTGATGTTTATTTTATTTTCATACAATAAATGAAATTGAGTTGGTTCTAGGTGGAAAGTATTACAATGTTCTAGGAGTTGAAAATAGGTGGAAACTTTCATGATGACATGAATTTTATTTCCTATTTCATTTTTGTACATTTTTGTGTGAGCTGATCCTCTCTATCTGGTTGGGATTGGCCATATGAAATGAATCCTTAGAAATCCAACATTTATTCCAATTAAAAATTAGTGTGAGTTTCACTTCTTGGTGAAGAAAAATGACGTGTTATTTATCTTCTTCTTCTTCTTCTTCTCTATTTTCTCTAAATTGATATTCTGGTCTTGTTCCTTCTCAAATCCAGTACATACTGGAAGTCTGAAGATGAAGTTGGAGGAGTGGCTGGTTATGGAGCTGATGCTGATGCCCATCCCTATGTCTCCTTCACAATCAATCTTGCTTGATCAGTGCTTATCTATTAAGTACTTTGTCCAAGGCAAATTTCAAGCATATTCATGCCAGGAAACAATAATAAGGGCAATGATGAGAAATGCTGTATATTAGATTCAATAGCTCAATTCTTTGGTTGTTTATTTATGTTATGAGATTAGGAGAGCTTTGGTGGAATGTAATGGGTAAAAAAGAACCTGTATTTTATGATCGATTTTCATGAGGCTTAATGTTGGCATTTGACAGTCTGTAATGCTGACTCGCTGAGCCTTGGCTATATATTATAAGTTCTATGGGGTTGAATAAAATTACACATTTGGATGTGAATTTTCTTTCAAAATGCAGTACCATAACAGATTCAACCAGCCTTGACAATGACATTCCTTCTTTCTTCCCAGACTTCAAAAAGGGTTGAACAATGCTGCAGATTCTTGGCATTTAAAAACACCAAGTTTTCCCAAAATAGGGATACATTGTAATTCACAACTACACGTCTCGGAAGCACTGCATACCAGAAGTCCAAAAAAAAAAAAGGTAATATCGGGCTTATATTGTAAAAAATTATATAAAAAATACTTTACATTATTTTAATAAACTCTCATTAAAAAAATTAAAACATTTTAATTTTTAAAGTATAAATAATGTTATTTTAATT